TGGTGACTAACCCATAGTTTTAAATACCCCTGAGATCTACCCCTCACTATATCTGGCTGCCCAACGTTTCCTAATTTTTTTCTTGCTTGGACTAACAAAATGGCGCGCACGCTTTTGTGAAAAATTTGCTAACTATTGTATGCTGTTGGTGCTTAATTGTAAAGAATGCCTTTAACTAGAAATCAAGATCGCCAGCAACGTCGCGAAGACGACGTTATTCCTGCTGCAGATGCAAATGCCAACGAAAATCACGAGGAGCATGATAGCCCCCATGATCGCCCCCACGCCGAATCACGTAGCAACAATTCTACGTTCAACTTGGATGATGTTTCAGCGTTGATGGCCTCGCTGCAACGTTCGCAGGCCGAAACATTTAAGAACATTATGTCGTACGTGATGGAACAAAGATAGTCGACTCCGGCACCTCCGCCGATGCCCCCAGTGAACGTAGATGGTACCTTAGCGCGTTGCAGAGCTTCTTTCAGCGGTGCACCTGGTGAATCTATTGAGGCCTTTATAGATGCAATTGAAAGCTATACAGAATGCGTTCAAGTATCTGACGCTAACATCATACGAGGCCTAGCCATGCTTTTGTCTGCTGACGCAGTTACGTGGTGGCTAGGATTAAAGCAACACATCTCCACTTGGAACGAAGCCAAAGAAAATTTAATATATGCATATAGCACCCGCCTTCCACCACATAGAATATATTTGGAAATATTTGCTTCCCCGCAGGATAAAGAAAACACAGACAAGTTTGTTGCTCGTATTCGTGCGCTTATGGCAAGGCTATCGCGGGATGATATTACTGAAAAAGTACAACTTGATATTATATACGGGTTGCTTTATAATAGAATACGCACAAGATTGCGCCGTGAAGAAATCACATTTTTCAATTCATTATTAAACCATGCTCGGAATATAGAAGATTCGTTAGAGGAGACTCAATAGAGACCAGTGTCGTCCACTAGTGGTGTGCGTTCGATTCGTGCCCAGCCGGCCCCGGCTGCGAGTCGGCCTGAACCGTGCGCCGCTCGTGCGAGTGCGCCGGCGCCGCGCGCACGCTTTCCAAGCTCCGCCGCGGCCGTCGTGCCCGCCACCGCTGTGCCTGTCGCTGTCGCCCAGCCTACCGTTGCCACGCCTGCCACTGCTGTGCCAGGTTCTGCAGAGCAATTCGTGACCACGAAGAAACAGCGTCCAGTGTGCTCCTACTGCAAACGGTTTGGACATGCACGGGAACAGTGCCGTAAGTTAAACAACCGAGGTGAGCAAAATCAATCTAACTTTTCTGAGGGTGTGCAAAATGACAATAATGCGTTTTACAGTGTTCAGTGTAATGTTAATAATACTAACACAATTAGTTCTAATTTACCTGTTCAGAATGCAATGTATGATGTTAAGCAGCATGACAAAAATAATTTTCTGAGTAATTTTGATATGAAATTTTTTGTAACCGGGATGCAAATATTAATTATGCTACCATTAACAGAGGCCCTACTTCCAGAAAATCTTATTTTCATGCCAGTAATGATTCTGTGTCAAAGAATATTAACTGTAATTGCACTCGTAATAATGAGATGCCAACCTTTTGTGATTCTCATGTTTTATATAATCAGGATGTTCGGACAAAGTGTAAAAATTTAAATATTTGTTATAACCAGGGAATTAGACCTAAATGTAAGAACTCATTTTTACCTTATAATCAAATAATTGAACCAAATTGTAATAATTTAAAATTTTCAACTAACCATGACTGTGACAAAAGGCAGTAAGTGTAATTTTAGAAAAATTAACGAATGTGTGGAAATTGATAATTGTTTGAATTTTAATTATTGTACATGTGAGGGAAGTGTTGTAGCGTCCGTGTACGACCGTGAGAGTGATAATAGGTATTTGCATTTACGGCCTATTTTAAAAATTAAAGTTCTCGGTAAACATGGTACTGCACTTATAGATACGGCAGCTAAGCATTGTATTGCTGGTCACAGGCTGTATGCTCTCCTTCTGAATAAGGGTCAGTGCAGTGTTTGTTATGTACTTCGTATATCGCGACCCGCTCCGCTCACAGTAGTAATAAACCAGCTGTTATTACGTACGGTCGTTTCATTACCCCACATAGACGAGGTTTTCGCGAAGTTAGGCGGCGGAGAACATTATTCTAAGCTAGATTTAAGTAATGCCTATAATCAAATTTGTTTGTCTCAAGCCTCTCAAGACCTCACAACTATAAATACACCGAAAGGCCTTTTCAAATATACACGCTTAGTGTACGGTCTCGCGAATGCCCCAGCTATTTTCCAGCGCACAATAGAANGTGAATCTTTGTAAATGCCTGACTTCCAAAGTTGCAATTATCAATTTTCTACCAAAGACGTAACGGCTAAAATTGGCCAGCTAGAAATTAGCGTGTTTTTGCATTTTGTAGAATATGCAAAAATGAGCCCATTATAGATAAAAACGCATTTAGTGATTTTTTGCAGTTAATGAGTTCTTGCAATAAGCCGACGATATATATAAATCTACAATGGTTTTTACGGATGTTCCATTATAACTACTGAACCATGCATCCGATTGACTTGAAACTTGGTATCCGTGTAGAAAATACATGTACTTAATGGATAGGCTAATATTTATATATTTTATTTTTATTGTTTAGATGGGTGGACGAGCTCACAGCCCACCTGGTGTTAAGTGGTTACTGGACGCTATGGACATCTACAACGTAAATGTACCACCCACTTTGAGATATAAGTTCTAAGATCTCAGTATAGTTACAACGGCTGCCCCACCCTTCAAACCCGAAACGCATTACTGCTTCACGGCAGAAATAGGCAGGGCGGTTGTACCTACCCGCGCGGACTCACAAGAGGTCCTACCACCAGTAAAAAAAAAAAAAAAAACCACATATGTCCGTCGAATACTTTCCCCTAGGGCCATACAACAATACAGGCCACCCTCCTACAGCACGGTAGATACGTTCCTACGAAGTCCCGTGTTGTACAAGACCGTGGGAATTAATAATACCGGTAATAAAACAGCACTTTACCCGTAACACAGTCTGAAAGCCGTCATAGCTCCGTGGGCGTTTACATTTAGACACAGATAACTCTATTTAACCGAACTTCAATAACTTCAAAGATATTTCGCAATAATTATTCTATGTCATGTCCAATGAAATGTTAATGGAGCGGTCATTTGAATAATTCGCAAAGCCTCCGGGGTAATCTTGTTAGGTCTGTCGCAAATGTAAGATCGGCCTCGGTTCAAATTCAAGAAAGCTTTTTTTTTTCCTTTCGAAGCTCTTGTCTCGCGAAGGGTCACCAAGAGCGGTTCAAAGAGACTAGGTGTAGCTTTGAGATATTTAAAATAAAATTAACATATTGTTGCATAAACCAGTGAATTATCTAACTGGTGTTTGGACGTCTTGTGAGTCCGCAATGGTCGGTATCACCAACATGCCTATTGAAGCAATAACGCCTTCCACTTTTTTTATTTGATAGATCGGTGAACGAGCTCACAGCCCCGCTGGTATTAAGTGGTTACCGGAGCTCATAGACATCTACAACGTGAATGCCGCCACCCACATTGAGACATAAGTTCTAAGGTCTCAGTATAGTTACAAAGGCTGCCCCACCCTTCAAACCGAAATGCATTACCGTTTCACGGCAGAAACAGGCAGTGTGGTGGTACCTACCCGTGCGGACTCACTAGAGGTCCCACCACCAGTAATTACGTAAATTATAAGTTTGCGGGTTTCATTTTTATTACACGATAGAACCTTCACCGTGGAAGTCAATCGTGAACATTTGTTAAGTACGTATTTCAATAGAAAAATTGGTACCCGCTAGGGATCCGAACACCGGTGCATCGCTCGACACGGATGCATCGGACGTCTTATCCTTTAGGCCACGACGACTTCGACCTTTAAAGGGCCAATGTACTGTAAAAAGTGAGACTTCGAATTCACGTTAAAACTGAGATGGCAGTATTTACGTCACAGATCCCTATGAGCTACTGAAATCAATTAGCACCAGACAAACCGTTGGACTGATGATCGACCCATGATGAACCTCTTTGTTGTCTCACTCTACCAGGAAACTTTCCTAAAGTACCACGGCATCAGAAAGCTTCAATTCAATCGGATAAACTCATAAACGACAGACTTCTGAAGACGAAGTTACGTTCGAAGTAGTCTTGGCCTAATGGCTAAGACGTCCGGTGCATTCGTATCGAACGATTCGGTAATATTTATTTACCGATCTTTATACTGTACCTAATACACATTTAACTCATGACGACGCTTGCAGCTGAAAGTAAGTATTGAACTTTTTGACGAAGCATGTTGCTGATAACTCCATTTCTGTAATCTGACGAATCATGTTGCGGATAATAACATGTATTTTTAGGTTAGGAATATTGTGTTATTTTTATTTATTTAATAAAGATTCTTTTAAGAGAACTGTCAAGGAACGTTTGTGCAACAAGGCATATTATTATGTTTGACTCATGTCTCCACGGACTATTATCATGAGGAAGGAATAAGATCGTGTGATTTGAATCAAACCATTATTGTTGGTCAAATTACGCATTCGGACACTTTTTTTAAAGTGTAAAATTTTGAAGCATTTTGCCGTTAGCTATAGTTCGAAGGAAAACATGATCAATGATGGGAGGGTATTTTATAACCCCGCAGCGGATTGGTACCTTCCTCCTCCCTATTTCTATTTGTATAGAAAGTGATATCTTTCGCGTAATTTGTTTTTTGACATTGGATAGCAAACCTTGGTTGGTTATGAAGAAACATGTCATGATACAAGGTCATGATATAATGAGATGATTGCTACAATTTAACGAATGTCTGCCATTTTGTATATTATAGCAATATTTGGAAATTAAATTGGTTGCATGATTGAGGTACATTGGTACGGGTAGGTACCCAATGTACCTACCCGTTATTGAGTTGGGTTTTGTTAGGGCGTATTGTGTTACTAGTGATAGGATGTCCTGTGAGCCCACACGGGTAGGTACCACCACGCTGCTTATTTCTGCCGTGAAACAGTAATGCGTTTCGGTTTGAAGGGTTGTTTATCCGTTGTAACTATACTTGAGACCTTAGAACTTATACTGAGACTTTAGAACTTATATCTCAAGGTGGGTGGCGGCATTAATGTTGTAAATATCTACCGGCTCCGGTAACCACTTAACACCAGGTGGTCCGTGAGCACGTCCACTCATATAAACATTAAAAAAAGTTCGGAAGGATAGGAACCAATGTCCGGTCTGTATCAGCCGCGATACAATCTGGTTTGGAGGATGAGGCGGTCGTAAACACAATGAAGACTTGTGACTCAAGACGTAGTTTTTTCCCCCCACCTATGCTGATAGCCTTGAGAGGCTATTTCAGGTTTTCCTTGATGTGTAGGTGAGCTCATGGAACTCTAACCGGGAGTGTTGCTAAAACTGGCCCTAGCAAGAGCAGTGCTTCACAGAATCTACCACCGGATCAGAAACGCGACCCACTGAGAAGATCCGGCGAGAAAGTCAGTGGGCTAAGACGTAGTGACTCTAAATCTATTCTATATATATATAAAAATGAATTGCTGTTCGTTAGTCTCGCTAAAACTCGAGAACGGCTGGACCGATTTGGCTAATTTTTGTCTTGAATTATTTGTGGAAGTTCAGAGAAGGTTTAAAAGGTAGATAAATATGAAAATGCTCGGAATTAAATAAAAATTACAATTTTGTTTTTCCTTTGATGTGGTCGGACGGATTCCTTTTGTTTGTTTTATGTTATTTTATACAAAAGTTTAGGTATTTTATATATCGATTGAGGCACTACGTAGTCTGCCAGGTCAGCTAGTACGATATAAATATGCACTCCGTAATACAGATCACCCACCCGCGTTTGCTGCCAAAACAATTAACCAGTAATGTTGTTATTTGAATATGTGATAATTTTGTTAAATTTCAATATATTTAAAAACATATTCACCCACTGTTTTGTCGCTCTGAATATTCAATTATTCCATAATTAGGACCGTATAAATAGTGTGATGAGTAATTTACTTAACAAAAGGATTAGTCATAAAAATGTAATATAATATATTAATATGTAGCACCCCAAGGTTTGTGTCAAAGTATTTAAAGGCGCGTCACTGT